AATGGAATTGATAGAAACTGCAAAACACAGCTTTTACAGCATACCTCTAACAGTTTAATAGGTGTTTCTTATATTATAGAGATTGATTAGATGAAATTCATGAGTTATGTTATTATAGCTGCTCGGATGTGCCTTTGTTAAGGGCCTCAGGAACACGTTTTCTAAAGTTGTAATCTTTATATAAATCGTATTATTTTCCGTTGGCTTTCTATGGGTTTTAGAATCATGTGACTCCGATTTGAAACGAATTTGTTACGATTTTTACAAAATTGTCGCGTGAGCAGTTTTTAATAAGACCCGACAACATGTGGTGTTCGATGTTTAACCTGTTTGGTGTATCATAATGTGCTCAAACTGAAAAGTGCTCTTCATGTGAATTGTATTATTTTGAGTTAGGTTCTTTGAGTTTTGGAATTTTGAAATTCGAAGTTGATTTGAATTTATTATGAATTTTGTAAGTTGTTCATGTTAGCAGTTTTTGTAATTTCGGGCAGATTTGAGGAATATGATGTTGGGCTGATTTTGATGATCTTATTGTGGCAATAAGAAAATATAATCACCATGAAACTTGTAATACTTGTTATAAGCTTTCATTAAAAGTTGAAATCATGCAATTTAAAGTTTTGGTTGATTTTATATGATTTTTCAAAGTTAGGGTTGTGCCCAGAATTTTTAAAACAATGGCTGAGTATATGATTGAAATGTATGCTCTAAAAAGTGTGCCTTTAGCGTGATTATTTGTAAACATACTCTTCTTAAAACTTGTAGCATTCCAAGTGTAGTTTCCATAGGTATTGAGTTTGTATTGTTTAGAGTTTTATAACATGAGATATTGTTGTTTTAGTGAACTGCTGTAAATTGATAAATAGTTGCGTTGACAGATTTCATGACCTAAGTGTTTGATTCTTAAACTCGGTTTTAAAGTTATTGTTGGTTTAAGTGATCAACATAAACGTTGTAGATATATGTGTTAGCTGCTCATTGGTTTTGGAATCACCTGAATAGCATATATATAGCTCATATTATCTTAGAAATACTGAGACCATGCGAGTTGTTCATTTTCATTTCTGAACTGCAGCTATGTGTTGTGTCGATATATGAACTATGTGGCTAAGTTATATCGAATGAGTGTAATTAAGTATTCGTGTGTTGCATAGTCTTTCATAGGATAATTTTGTGTAATGTAGGTGTTTGACGAGCTGTGTACTCGGCCTACCTTTTTTCCTCGATTTTCTGTGATTTCTTTCTCCGGATACCAGGTGGGTCTTATTTTTGCTATGCCGTAAATGTTATTAATGCTTGTTGCAGTATGACTATTGTATATATGTGAACATGGTAGCCTATCGATGTGAGCTAATACGGTCGTCGGTACAGTAGTCCCCATCGATGTGAGCTTTATGCCCTTCGACGGTGCCTAATGATAGGCAGTCTCCTTAACACGTGTACGGAGGCCATATCGTATGTAAGACCTGTACGGAGTCTTTCGATATGTATGTCGCTGTAAGACCTGTACGGAGGCGATCGACAGATACTCCTACTGAGTGGGCGCCGATGTAAGGCCTGTACGGAGGCGATCGATACGAAGATACTCAGTAGCTTTATAGAGATGTGCACATGAGTAATTATTGATAGGAGATTGGGATAAATTATTGCTTCGTATACATGCTGAGACCATACCTTATTGATTATTGATTACTGTTTCATTGGTGTGAATAACGTTTACTGCATAGTGGTGAGCACTATTGTTCCTCTTGTGCTCATCCACACCTGCTCTTCACGGATGCAGGTTAGTATGGCGGGCACGGTGGAGGGAAGCGAGTGGTGGTCACAAAAATTGTTATTTCTTCCGTTTGAAATTGAATTATTGTTATTATTGTCTTATTGATTACTGGACTATTGATAGGGAATGTATTCCCTAGGTATGTATGAGTATTGGATAATTGGATTGGATATCGATTATTGAACTGAACTATTGTTGGATTATTGATTATTGATGATTGATAAGTATTGATTATTGATTTGAAAATGAGTAGCGAATCAAGTGTTTTGAAATAAATTTTGAAAAATTTATTCTGATTTTCGGCAAATAAAAGTGGGGCGTTACAGGGTTAATGTATTAGTTTATTGGGTGGGCTAGGGATGGAATAAAGCTTCATAGTTGTTAAAAATATATAAGAGGCCTAGCCTTCACCCAGCCCAGGCCAATAGTAAATCCGTCCATGGTTAGTGCGATATCATTATGCCATAAACTACGCGAAAGACAGACGAATAAGAAAGTTTTATGTGACAACTATGCGAAAGAGAGGCAAAGAAAATTAAAAAATTATGGAATATTTATTCAATAAACTACGCGACAGACATGTCATGACAATTGATAAATTGTGAAATATTTATACAATAAACTACAAGACAGACGTGTCAATATAATCAATGACGACAGACAGGCGAAGTTAATTGAGAAAGTGTGAATTACTTATGCGACAGACAAGCGAGGTTCAGTGAGCAAGTGCGAAACAAATTATGCAATAAAGCATGCAACAGACATGCGAAGTTAATTGAGCAAGTGTGAATTACTTATGTGATCGACTATGCGACAAACAGAGAAAGATAATCGAACAAGTGAGATAGCATTACGTGATAGATATGCGAAGATAATTGATCCAGTGGGATATTATTATGGCATAAACTACACGACCGACATGTTAAGATGATTGAAAAAGTGAAATATTTATGCGACAACTATGCGAAAGAGAGACAGAGAAAATTGAGAAAATTTGCGAAATATTTATTCGATAAAATACGCGATAAGCAGGTCAAGATAATCGATAAATTATGAAATATTTATACGATAAACTACGTGATGGCAACAGACCGACGAAGATAATTCAACATGTGCTATATAATTATACGATGAAATATGCGAGAAATAGACGAACTTGATTGAGGAAGTGCGTAAAGATGCAAAGAATTGTGTTAACAATTCGATCAATTGCGGGCCTGTCACATTTTAAACGCATATCAACTTTTTGCACCTGTTTTTACATTTTTTCAGTTTCTTCTCAATTGTCTACTTTTAGTGTAACCCCTAGAAAGGTTGGCCCCCTCGAGAACATTGTACAAGAAACACGCGAAGGAATTTTTCAATATCTTGAATCCCCAAAATTTAATAGAATAAAAATCTCCAAAGCAACGAGGCAAAGGATTATAGGCCAGACCAAGATCAACAACCGGAGGAACATGATGAAATACAATAGGAACGACTTGTATAAACCGATCGAGCATATGCTGATAAAAGACGAAAAATATATGTAGTTAAAATGAAAAATACAAAATACATATATCATCATCGTCTTAGCAAGACATTACATTAAAAATCGTCCAAATACTAAACACATTCTCATCTCAAAATCGAGTAATAAAAAGAATATGAAAGAACTAATGCTCATCATTGTAACAGAATCAATAAACAAACAGCTGGGTACTTTCTTTTTTACTTTTACCTTCTCAAAAAATTGGATGGTTACATTAAAATTTCATAAAAGGGCAGTTACACTAAAAAGCTTACCAGATCAAAGTTGTCGCAACATAAGACCAAACTAAACCAGCATATATACACGAAACAGAAAGAAAAAAAAAAAAAAAAAAAAAAAAAAAAAAAAAAGAAAAAAAAAAAAGAAATTTACACAACTGAAATACATACAATAACGTCCACCAAAAATCTACTGAGCCCCTAATCAAACTCAGACGACCCAGACCCAGACCCAGACCCAGACCCAGATGGCTTCTCCTTATGATCAATCACCAAATTATCCCTGCTAAGGCATTTTTTGCCAATTCCACCCCCCACCGATTTCTCAGACAACAAAACCAGCCCCACAGTAGCAGCAGCAGCAGCAGACATGCTGGCAGCCACCACATCCCTCGTACCACTATAAAGCCCCCCAAACACGTTTTGCTCGACATTACTCCCCTGGCTGGAGGAGCCATTCACGAGCATCCGAAGCGTCTCCCGAGCACCCTTTTCCACGGCAGATTCCCCTCCCGGAAGCGAAGTGGCCAAGTAGCCCGATGAGAAGACATCAATCACAGGCACATGCACGATCGGGTCGCACACCAAAGGTGTAAATGTTGGAAGCTGTCGTGAGTTTGGTAGCCTCACAACAGGCTCCGGCACAAGACTGGGAAAATCGAGAGGTGGGAGCTCAGCCACATTCAGAAGCGGCTTTGACAACAAGAGATTAGAGGACGGCCTTGAGGATGACATAAGAGAAGAAAGTGGGGGCAGAGGAAATGGCTCAGTTGCCAAGACAATTGGCACCTGTGGGTTTCCTATGGTGTACTGCAGAGCCGATACAACGGGTGGGCACCAGCAGTACTGAGGGGAGAGAGTAGATGGGCCACCTGATGAAGGTATTTTTATTTCCTGAAATGGAACTGACTTCCCTAATACATCCAACAAATCTAATGCTGGGAATGATTGAGCAGTACTGCTTGTTTCAGTAATGTTGTCTTTAGGAAAGCAAGTGGGACCAGATAGGATGGTGCAGTTTAATGAAGCAAGGGATTGGCTGCCAACACATCTCATGTAGTCTTCTCCACGACGCCTCACTTCTTCATGGGCTGCAGCACTCCTCAAGGAAGATGAACGTTTTTGCAGGCCCTCCTCAAAAGAACCTGACTTGGGACTGAGACTACCCAGATAGATCAGGTTGGTCATTGACCCTTGACACAAACTCTTGGGAAAATTGGACGGAGATTGGGGTGAAGAATGATCAGAATAACTGTCCGAATCGTCTTCCAGGTTAGTCAAGAGAAGGCCACTGACTGGAGCACTACTTAACACAGTATCAGTAAGATATGCTCGAAGATGACTAGCGAAATAGTTGAGGCGCGACTCACTAATTCCAGTTAATTCAGCCAGTGAAGGTTTTGTCACAAGCAAATTTTTCATCTATAAGACACAAAAGCGAAAGTTAACAAGAATAAGTTCAACTTTTGTATGTGAAACATGAAACACTGGTAATATCCTCTATTTTACCTTCCTGAGCAATTCATCCCCTAAAAGCTTCGATTTTTCAGAACACCAAAAATAGGAAACATTATCTGGTGTTTTTATTAGGAAAGACCTTCCAGACTTGTCTGAAGGGATCTCTTCCATAACTGTGCTGCTTAAGTGCACCTCAGTACTTAATGTTGCCAGCCTCTCCACAGATCCATCATCCCCATTAAATGATACTCGCAAAGCAGAAGTTGGCAACAGGGTGAGATGTAAATTACCCCTGTTTTGTTCAAAAAAAATAAAAGGCTCAGAAAACAACAATCAGCTAGAGTATGTACACATATGAGTTGGAGAGGTGCAAACTAATGTACTTTTCTCCCAGATCCCCAACAATTAATATGAGATAATGGCATTTGAAAAAAAAAAAAAAAAAAAAAAAAAAAAAAAAAAAAAAAAAAAAGATTTTCCAGCTTCAGGCCCTATTGATCCACAGTTAAATGGATGCATGAATTTACACTCACAGCTCCTTTAGACAACTTTCATCCCATTAACAGCAGGGAAATTAAGTTTCAGATGATTCACCACTAAATTGGCTTGAGATTAGTCAACATTATGCAAGAAATATAAAATATTAATGTGTTACATGATTACATTAAATGCCTCGGCATTCTTGTTACAGGGGGATATGCGAAATTAAATCTTGAGGCTGACATATAAGTAAACAAAATAGTCAAAAAACATTGATATAAAGATAACATAGAATGATCTTTAATTTTAATAAATTTTACATGAACTTTAGATAGCAGTGTAGCACAAATCAAGTTAAATCTGCTAGTATAACATCAGCATAGGAGGCTAGAACTTAGATACAGATACATCTTTATAGTTGCACATTTATTTACAAATCCAAAATTCATTACAGCGAATATTATGATATCACAAACAAATATCAACAGACTTGGGGTGTGATTAAATATGAATTAGATTTGGCTTTGATTGGTTTTTTTATTAACCATAGGTAATTTTGAAAAAGTGGCAGGGTTAGGTTGAGTGAGATTTTGAGTTTATGTTAAAATAATATTTAAATTAAAATTATTAAAGTTAATTTGATCTTGAAAAATAAATGGAAGTGATGAGTAGTTGAAATTATGTTAGTGGATAAATAGTGAATTAAAGTTGATGTAACGTGGAAGAATTATTGACTGATATTATTTAATTATAATGATAATAGTGAAGATAGTGGGATTGTGTTAAAGTTGAATTAAATTAGAGTTTTGATTGGTTTTTTTCAGGTTGAGTTGATACCCAATCACACCCTTAAATAGAGATAGGTTCGCCAAATAGGAAACAAATGTATACAAGTAAATACAGCACAAAATCAACAAGCCACAGAAATAATAATACATTACTGCTAGAAAGAAAAATATAAGAACAAGAGATCGAAGAAGGCTGACAAAAAGCATAAAATAATGTATTAACATAGAAGCATGAAGCTACCTTTACTCCGTCTTAATTCAGAGATCATAATAGTATACGCCCAATTTACCTACAAGTCAAAAGATATTCACTTGGGAAGATAAAAATGGTGACCATTAACACCAAAAGTGCAGTTTTCATGCATCAATATATACACATATATGTCAATTTCGATGTGACGCCAATAGCAACGCATCAGAACATGACTAAAGCCTACCATGTAGGAGGAAAAACTATCATTTAGTAAAAAGCCATTAACAGTCAAGGGCATAACATAGTACATACGACAAGTGATGTGATATTGGATACTGAATCAAGTAAATTCAACACATCATAAAGTCATCAGATGATAGAATCAGCTTCATTCCCCATCATACACAAATCGACATACATCTATACCACACCAACCTTCCCAGTATCTTCACATGTCATACGCACCTCCTAGGTATGAACAGTCATATCAAGAAGCAGGGATCTAAGACAGAATCCAGCATGTAGGTGCCGATCAAGAGGAGATTATGGTATGTCTGCAATTCATATATAAGACACTCAAAAATGAACCCTAAACAAGATTAGGGGTCACAGATTATAGTATTATAACACTACTCCTACCAACAGAAATCTATACTATTGTTACCAAAAAATTTACTAATTGGTCATGGATAAACATTCTACAAAAGAAACCAGCATCATTTGGCACCAACAACACACGAAAAGTGAGTTTGTTATAACCATTGCATCAAATATAATTAAAAAGTTAAACTCAAAAGGTTAAAAAACAAGGACGTAATACCACGATGAAAAAAAGAAAAGAAATAATGGCAATCAAATGCAACCTTAAACACAATCCTAATGTAATAAATTATTGGCAGCAACAGAAGCCATAGGAGTAAGAAACCAAAGAACTTAGAAACTAACTAATCGGAGGATATCAATTAAAAACATTTTTCCTACTAGACTTAGGTGTTTCAATTAATTTTAACATCAAAACTCAGAGGCAAATAACCAAGTGAGGAACATTTTAAAAGAAGTTCAAAACAAAAATAAATAAATGAACACACATGAAACCCAAACAAATAATTTCATTTGAAAGTAGTTTGATAATTGCAGTTAGTTGTCCTCAAAACTCGATCACAATACATCTGCACAGATTTATGATTATATCGACCATATAAAATCAGAACTGTATGAATAGTCAAGTGGTATCCTATTAAGCAAACTGTATTCTATCCTTAGGAGAAGAGATCAAAGGAAATAGGTGAAAGAATGATACTATTATTTGAAAGATACTGATCAGTGCAAACCTTTCTTATTCTTTTACCACATTCCTAAAGGCATCTACCCTTCATAACCCAGACAAATAAACACAATTATATCAATGAGGAACCATTCAAAACCATCGAAAAATAGTGTTGCAGCTACCTTATAGATGTAGGAGACATGAGGGCCCCTTGCTTGTCTATCTTTCCAACACGAATGGAAACCAGAGGTACACACAAGCAACTGGCTAGCAAACCAACTTCTGAAGGCTCGAAGTGCTGTGAATTGAAGAGAACAGACAAAGGCAGACATCAAAGGCAAACACGAAAAGATGAATAATGCAAACTCCCAAAAGCTTCCCAAAAGTTAATGGATACATATTTAGAAAACCAAAAGGAAAAGGGGCAAACACCTGCCCATCAATCTGGTCTCCCCACACGACACCAAACTTGCGGAATAAACACGCCAATCAAGATTTCAAGATTCAAATTCTATTGATCTGATGGTAGATACCTGAGTCAGGTGAGCTAGCAGACCATCCTCAGCCACGCCAGCAGCGACGTTAAGCTTCAGCAAGGGCTTCAACCTCTCATCCGCCCTGCAGGCCCCCATCACCTGCATATCCAAGGCGTGAAACCACTGAAGAAAACCGCTCTCTGGATCGCTGCTCTGCAGGAGCAGATCTCCGTCGCCGTCCGCCAAAAATATCTCCGTTAACCTCCTCGTGACCGAAGTAGTCACGGGCTCTGACGTCTCGGCGCCGCCCTCCGGATACAGATCGGCGGGGTCCTCGTCATCGATACATCCACCGTCCGATATTTGATCGGCGGGGTCCTCGTCATCGATACATCCACCGTTGAGCGATTGTTGTTCCTCTGAATTTGCCATTAGTGGGAAGGAGATCTCAATTGGAAATAGCAGCTAATAAGAAAAGATAACAAATGAAAGCTTTGTGAGAGTAAAATATCTATCTTGATAATAATGCTCATCAGGAAACGCATAGATAAGGCATACAGATGATGTGGTTGTGATTTGCGTGCTTGTTTTTTAACTTAACTAAATCCTATATTGTACCCAAATTTCTTTTTCTTTTTT